CACTGGTGGCCTTCCCCACCCCCTTCCCTCTTTAGATGGGCCGGCACTGGTGTGCCCGCCCTAGTGAGTGACCACGCCCCCTTTCCTCTCCCTCCGCCCCCTCCTTTTGCTGCTGGGCCACAGCCCAGAGTCCCAGGGAGTGATCAGCGGTGCTGTTTTCCTTATCATCCTCTTCTGCTTCATCCCTTTCCCTTTCCTGAACTGCTTTATGGAGGAGCGGTGTAAAGCCTTCCCGCACCATGAAGTAAGTGGGTGAGTGGGGGCGGTTGCTTGTGGCCGGGGTCTGGAAGCTACCTGAGAGAGCTGGGGTTGTTTGGGTTTGGGTGGAGGGGCTGAGGAACGAGCAAAAAGACAGGCAGTTTTGAAAGGTGAAGTGGGCGCAGGCTTGAGCTGTGACCTGTCCGAGCCTCCCCCAGTTTGTGGCCCTAATAGGTGCGCTCCTTGCCATCTGCTGCATGATTTTCCTGGGCTTTGCGGATGATGTACTGAATCTGCGCTGGCGTCATAAGCTGCTGCTGCCTACAGCTGCCTCACTACCTCTTCTCATGGTCTATTTCACCAACTTTGGCAACACGACCATTGTGGTGCCCAAGCCTTTCCGGCCCATTCTTGGCCTGCACCTGGACTTGGGTGAGTAGCCCTGCCACCGCTGCCCCTGTGGCCCCTACTTCAGGGCACCCTCACCCTGGGAGATATCTAGCAGAGCATCATTCCTGGTACTCCAGATTCTCCTCCAAGTGTCCCTGACTTATCCCTGTGTCTTCTAAGATCCTTTCTGTTGGTCCTTCGTCCAGTCCTCTGTCCCCACCACTTTTTTCAGCAGAATATCCTTAAGTCCTCATTTCTGTGGGTGGCACACTTCTGTCTTCTTCCCCCAGGGATCCTGTACTATGTCTACATGGGGCTGCTGGCAGTGTTCTGTACCAATGCCATCAATATCCTAGCAGGAATTAATGGCCTAGAGGCTGGCCAGTCACTAGTCATTGCTGCTTCCATCATCATCTTCAATCTGGTGGAGCTGGAAGGTAGGTGGGATTGGGAGTAGGGAGAGAAGAGAAGTCTGAGTGCTAAGGAAGTTGCCTGATACCTGGCTTTGGGGAGTTCTGGGGGGAAAAAAGCAATATATGAAGATATATTAAATGTAAAGAAAGAAAAATAGCAGCCCTGTCATTTTTAGTTGGATTGGCACTAATAGGTAGGCCATAGTCTTCTGTTGAGTGTAAACCATTTCACAGAACTTCTAAGTCAGACAGGGTCAGTCTATGACCATGATATAGAGTAAACCCAGGTCCCTCCCTAAACATGTCCAAGTATAGACAACCACATTTTGTGCATCCTGCAAAGATGACTAAGGTCTCCCTCTTCTGGCTAACGGAGCAATTGCTGCTTCCTTCTGATAACAGTTCCTGGTGTTTTTTAGACAAAACTGAGATGCTCACTTATACAATTACTTCCATTGACAGCACCCAGTCTAGGGCAAAACTCCACCTCCTTGCTTTCTCCCCAGAATCACTTAAAACAAATCCTCCTAATACCCCCTTACTGAGGCCTCCCATGGTTGCCTGTGGTGTGTAATCTCCAATGTTTCCCTTGTTACAAGTCAGTAAACCCAGCTTTGAGTGCAGGTGTGTTTCTGGTGGTCTTTGGCTGATGGATATCAATGCTTATTAAAACTAACCACTTTTAGGGGCACCTGGGTGGCTCAGTGGGTTAAGTCACTGCCTTTGGCTCAGGTCATGCTCCTAGGGTCCTGGGATCGAGTCCCAGATCGGTCTCCTTGCTCAGCGGGGAGCCTGCTTCTCTCTTTGCCTCTCCCTGCCATTCTGTCTGCTTGTGCGCTATTTCTTTCTCTCTGACAAATAAATAAAATCTTAAAAACAAAAACAAAAACCAACCACTTTTAAAGCATTATCTCATTTAAATTTTGTAACATGTGTCATGGGTTCTTGTGAACCATATTTTATAGTGGAGGAAACTGGGGGCAAGAGAATTTAAATGTGTCATGATCGAGGTCACACAGGAAGTAAAACTGGTATTCAAACCTAGGTCTGACTGATCTAAACCAAACTGAAGACAGTAACTCATTTACGAAGGGTTCGTGAACGAGGGTGGATTATTAGGAATTGCCTGGGTGACACAAAAGGGGTAGTGAGTTCTTGACTTGGGAGACATGGAGAGTACCCCTTGCGACAGAACTTAGAGACAAAAATAGGACCCAGATATGCAGGGAAGTACTATCAACTAACTTCTCCTTTTTCTCCTGCTTCCAAAGGTGATTATCGAGATGATCATGTCTTTTCCCTCTACTTCATGATACCCTTTTTTTTCACCACCTTGGGATTGCTCTACCATAACTGGTAAGTGGGCCTATGGCTAGGGGGATAGCTATGTGATTGTAGAATGAGTATGGTCCTGGTCATGACCCAGCTCCTGGAGAGGCTAAACCTGCACACACCTATGTTGAGTGTTTTCTGGGTCTCTAGTTGGAAATATTCTAATTGATCCCTGCCCACTCGCAGTTAGAAACAAGTGCTTTGGAGCCTCCAGAAGAGATGAATGCAGGGCCTTGGGTCTTGGACAGTTGCTGGAAGAGCTAGAGTCTCCTCTGGGCCAGAACTAGAGTCAGGGCTAGCCCAGGGCCCAGGGGGTGTAATGTGAGAGAAAAGATGGATAGTGCGTCCACCACTGGCTCAGATCCTCTCCCCCACACAGGTACCCATCACGGGTGTTTGTGGGAGATACCTTCTGTTACTTTGCTGGCATGACCTTTGCCGTGGTGGGCATCTTGGGACACTTCAGCAAGACCATGCTACTCTTCTTCATGCCCCAGGTGTTCAACTTCCTCTACTCACTGCCTCAGCTCCTGCATATCATACCCTGCCCTCGCCACCGTATTCCCAGGTAGCCACTTTGGGGCTTGAAAGGGACATCGTAGCTTTTTCACTTGGGATGCGTAAAGCCAGCCTTATACATCTGCTGTGCAAAGGGAGTGGGCCCAAAGAAGGGCTCTTTCCACATGGTTAGCCCTTCTAAATTACAGAGCACATTCACCTACATAATTTAATTAGCTCTGATCACACAGTAGTAAGCAGAGCCAGAAATAGATCTTAGGTCGTTTGATGCCATGTTTGGTGCTCTTCCTATTAATTGACTACAGTGAGGAGAGTTCTTGGAGTAGTGGCCCAGTCACATAAAGCTCTCTTCCCCCTGCAGACTCAATACCAAGACAGGCAAACTGGAGATGAGCTATTCCAAGTTCAAGACCAAGAACCTCTCTTTCTTGGGCACCTTTATTCTAAAGGTAACAGGGTAACAAGGAGGTAAGGGTCTAGGCCGTCATTTGGAATTCAGGGACTGGGGATCCTAGGCCTGCATCAGATCCAAGGGGAGTTTGGAAGTACGAAGCAGATCTCCATTGCTGAAGCAGAGTTGAAGTTCTCTCCACCTCTGGCCCCTCCAGGTAGCAGAGGGCCTCCAGCTTGTGACGGTGCGCCAGAGCGAGCATGAGGATGGTGGCTTCACGGAGTGTAACAACATGACCCTCATCAACTTGCTCCTTAAGGTCATCGGGCCCATGCATGAGAGAAACCTGACCTTGCTCCTGCTGCTGCTACAGGTGTGGTCAGGGAAGGGCTTTATAGCTCCTTGTTTCCCTTTCTCCATGGTTCTGACTCTAGCGTGTTTCTCCTCACAGATCCTTGGCAGTGCCGTCACCTTCTCCATTCGGTACCAGCTTGTCCGGCTCTTCTACGATGTCTGAGTCCCCCGATGCTTGCCCTTTACTGCACAGTCTGCAGGGTTCCTGACTCAGGCCAACCTCTTTCCTAACCAGGAATGCCTCCTGGCCCAGGCCTCTACCCACCACCTCTTCTTCTCCCCCAGATTTTATACTTAGTGATTCCATTTCGCTGTGATTATGGACGTCTTGGGCATGTCTTGCCCTCTACTGACTGTTGGACTTTGCCTGTGGCTTCCTTCAGCTGCCACTCTCCCTCTCGGTCCCGTCTTTACAGCCTGAGCTGGGATACTGCCACTTTTATGCAGTTATCCATGACTCGGACTCTCAAGGAATATGTTGGGCCTGGGGATAGAACCCTGGCCAGGGGATAGGGACACAGGCTTTAAAATTACTTGATATTTGACTATAAATTAAGTATTCTGATTAGTAAGGGCAGACTGCGGGGATGGGGGGGAGCCAGGTGCTCCCAGTGGTGACAATAAAGTGTTGTCTTTTTCTTCTTGTTGTTCCTGTAGGTATATTTCCTATATGGGCATTTGAGGGTAGGTTGGGAGGGTTGGTGGAGCCAAGAGGTTGCCCATCCCTCTACCCAGTCCTTTCCCTTTCAGCATAGCAGGCTCCTTGTAACAAGAAGTGAACAGAAAGAACTGAGATCAGACGGAACATGTTGAATAAATATTGAAATCCTCACATTTCAAGTGGCGGGGAGAGCCATAAGGTTGGAGTTACCTTTGTCTGGTGTGGGACAGAACTTTTTGAGGGGAACAGAGGGAAGGGATCCCATTTCCTCTCTCTTTCACTTTCCCTTTGCAGGATGGGAGGAGGGAGAAAGGAGAAGGAGAGTGACCAGACCTGGAAGGGGAGGTAGTGGCGCAGACCCCGTTCCTTTAAAAATCCTAGGCCCTCACAGATTTCCCAGAGTCTCTTGGGGTGGCTCAGACTCCACCCTCTTTGTCTTCCGGTTCTGGGCTCCAGTTGTAGCGTTTAAATCTGGCGCCCTTCACGTGGATTGGCTCGCTCAGGGAGGGGTTGGCTGGCTGCGTGCTACCACTCCTCCTCGCCTTTTTCCCCGGGCAAAAGGTTTTCAAATTGGGCCAATCGGCGGGCGCGCTCCCTCAGCCGTGGCGCGTCACGGAAGGGTTAACTGCAGCCAACCGGAGGCGGGTATTTGAGAAAAGAGCCAATCAGGAGGGCGCGGAGGTGTGCCCTGGGGGCTTATAAGGGCGGCCCCTGGGCGCGCGCGGCAGCAGTTAGACTGCGGCGGGCGCCAGTTCGTTGGTCCGGTTCGAAGCGTCCTTCTTCACCGCTCTTCTACCTCGCGCAGCATGTCGGGCCGCGGCAAGACCGGCGGCAAGGCCCGCGCCAAGGCCAAGTCGCGCTCGTCGCGCGCCGGCCTCCAGTTCCCAGTGGGCCGCGTGCACCGGCTGCTGCGGAAGGGCCACTACGCCGAGCGGGTCGGCGCCGGCGCGCCGGTGTACCTGGCGGCGGTGCTCGAGTACCTCACCGCGGAGATCCTGGAGCTGGCGGGCAACGCGGCCCGCGACAACAAGAAGACGCGGATCATCCCCCGCCACCTGCAGCTGGCCATCCGCAACGACGAGGAGCTCAACAAGCTGCTGGGCGGCGTGACGATCGCCCAGGGAGGCGTCCTGCCCAACATCCAGGCCGTGCTGCTGCCCAAGAAGACCAGCGCCACCGTGGGGCCGAAGGCGCCCGCGGGGGGCAAGAAGGCCACCCAGGCCTCTCAGGAGTACTGAGGGGCGCCCGAGCCGCAGCCGGCCCCCCTATGCCACCACAAAGGCCCTTTTAAGGGCCACCACCGCCCTCACGGAAAGAGCTGAGCCACGTCGGGCTCGGGGCGGGCGGCCGCGGCGCTCGGCTCCCCCTCCCGCGTCGCCGCCGCCGCCCGGCCCGCCCCTCCCCCGCGCGGGCCCGCTGGTGTTTGTGCCCGCTGCCGCCAGGCCGGGGGGCGGCCCGGCTTGCCTGGCGCAGAGGCCCGAGCGCCGTCGCCGGGAGCGGGCCGGGGGCGCGCAACTGCCTGCCGCGGCGCCCGTGACTCAGCCGCCCGGGCTCCGGAACCGCCGATGGGCCGCAGGGAGGCCGCGGCGCCTCCTGGAAGAGCTGCTCCCCGCTCTGACGCAGGGCCGAGGTGCGCGCCGGGGCCAGGACTCTCCAGACGCGGCCGGGAAGAACCATTCACTGTTGGCCCCGGCGCTCCCCGCCGTCTGCACCCGCGAGCCGAACGCTTCAGGGACCGCCACCTGGGCCTCGGCGGGGGAGGGGCGGGGGCCCGGGTTTGCGCCCCGCGGGCCATGGGGACCGCAGGAGGTGTGCGCGCGCCCGCGCTGACCGCAACGGGGCCCTCGGGCCCCGCAGCTCGCCCCACTTCCCCGCGGGCCACGCACCTCCGTACCAGCACTGGCCCGTTCGTCCGCGTCTGCACTGAGCCTCCGATTGCTTCGGAACTGGAATCTTGCAGCTACAACCCACCCAAGACTAGGACCTTACTGTATTGGGGAGTTTCAGATGGACTAATTTTGTTTATTAAAGGATTTTTTTTAAAAAATGCAGTGTCTATTGTCATTCTTTAAGAGTTGTAGCATTGGCGACTTTGTAGACTCCTATCCTGAGGTGGTGGGGTGCGCGGGGGCGGGGACTCCTTGATATATGGCCCACCTATCGGATGTCCATGTGGGCTAGCTGGAGAGGGGCAAGTCCTAGGTTTCTCCCATCACTACTCTTTCATGGGAGACCATTTGTTGTTTGAAATGAGAACTGTGGCAGGAACAAAGAACATTCCAGGAGAACTTTGCACAAAGGTCCCAGCCTCTGAAGAGTACAGGCTTTGTGTCTGTCCTTATCTTTCCTGCAACCCCACCAAAAACAAAGTCACCTTGAGAGCTGGTTTATTAGTTGAGTTGGTTACATTCGAAGGCCGTGGCTTGAACTTTTTCTCTAAAGAGATGAAACCCCCACCTACTATGGAGGCAAGGCACTCCCCACAGCCCCAAGGTGAGGCAAGTCTCTGACTTTGCAGTTCAATCCCCTGGGGTAATCACTCCCCAGGTAGCAGTGAGGATGGGGCACTGAGGGCTGGTAGGTAGGCACTGAACAATAGCGACCCAGGCACCTGTGCCCCACAGACCAGTTAGTGGGCATCATTAAGCTGCCGTGCAACATCCAGTATGTTCTTGGCTCCTTTGTTCAGCAACAAACTGGCCAGGCTGATGCCCAGGTTCTCAGCAGCCAGCTGGGCTTCTCGTGGAATGTTCCGGGCAGTGATCCCCACCAGCTGCGGATCATCCTCGGGGCCATCTTCCTGCTAGGTGAGGGAAGGAGGTGGGATCTGGTCAGCAGGAAAGAGGAGGTAACAGGCAGGTCTGTTTTCTCCCCCTCTCCCTCACCCTCCAGCTTTGGCACCTGGGCAGTGACCCGGATGGTGGCCTGCATGGTCTCTTGCATGCTATCTGAGCCGTCTAGACTCCAGACTCCTCCAGTCAGGTACAGCTGGCAAAGAAAACAGGTTATCTCAGCATATTCTGAGAGAACTATTAGAAACCCGGGCTCTTGCAGGCAACTCGAGATGCACAGAACGCGTCACAGTGCTCCCTTACAGCCTTCCCTCCCACCTTCCCCTGCGTACTTGCCCATCCTTCATAGCCGTATGCACCGCCACTGGCACACTGCAACCTCCTTCCTGCAATGAGAAGTTCTCTGTGTGAGCTAGGGACTCAACAGCACCACGCGGCCAGAGCCGTCAGAGATAGAGACCTCAGAAGACTTAACTGAGACAAGAGGCAGGGGCCCAGACTTGGGTCCTGTCCATACATTCAAGAATGAGTTACCACTCAATAAAGAGCATTAATATGAGAAATCTCCCCCTCGACTATTCCCAACTCCTCAAGTCCCCACCCCTCCACCGGTGGAACATGGACCCTACCAGATGCCTCAGGAAGGCTCGCTCGGCAATGCAGCGAAGCAGAGTCTCCAGGTCATGCAACACACCCACCAGATCCAGCATGTCCTGGTCCTTGGCTCGGACTTCCACGCCCAGGGCTCCCTGATGGAGAAACCCCCAAGATATCAGGCCTAATCTTTCCCCAACCAATGGAGGTGAGGACAGGAACCAGCCCACCTCTAACTGCTCCCCACGGTCCCTTTCAGCCCAGAAGCCTCCGAAGGCCTGCCCCTCCCTAGAAATGTTCATGCCGGGAGATGCAGATGCAGAAGGTTATGAGACCAGCTTTTTGGCTGACAGCAGAAGAAAGGGCACATCAACACATGGCTTCCCTGGTCAAACATACCTGACCCACAGCATACATGCATTCCTCTGGGTGTAGGATCTGCAGGGGCAGAATAGGCAGTCAGAAGGGTGGAGATGGGGGTGGCTAAAAGCAGACAGTAGTGAGAGGGGGTTTCCCTACCACACAGAAAGCCTAAATAGGCAAAAGTGGGACTCTGACATTTGATCCCCAATCTTCACAGCCTGGGACCCATGTCCTGCTTATACTGTTTGAGGTAGGGTGTTCAGAAAGAGAATACAGGCAGGAAAGGAAGAAGATTAACTGGGGATGGAACAGGGACAGCCCCTACCTGCCCCACCCGGTGCTGCCAGCCCATGCGCTGTAGGCCAGCAGCGGCCAGGATGATGGCACTGAACTCCTGCAGCTCGTCCAGCTTCCGAAGTCGCGTGTTGAGGTTTCCCCGCTGTGGGGAGATGCTAAGGACCACAAGCACTGGGCAGTCCCAAGCCTCACACCGCTCCCCCTGCCTGAGTCTCTCTATTCTAACATCTCTCCTTTGGTCTTCTGCTTACCTATGACAGCTAACATTTACTTCATTACACTTGAGCTACACACCATACACTGGTAAAGTCCTTTATAGGGACTCACTGGGTGGCTCAGTTCATTAAGCATCTGCCGTCAGCTCAGGTCATAATCCCAGGGTTCTGGGATCGTGTCCTGAAATGGGCTCCTTGCTCAGCAGGGAGCCTGTTTCTCTCTCTCTCTGCTGCTCTCCCTGCTTGTGTGTGCGCTCGCTCGCTCTCTCTCTCTCTCTGGCAAATAAATAAAATAAAAATAAATATATATTAAATAAATAAATAAATAAAAAGAAAGTGCTTTACCCACGCCTATTTAATTTCCACAACCCAGTGAGGTAGGTATTCTAATTATTTCCATTTTACAGATGAGGAAAATGATACAGAGAAGTTAACTAACTTGACAAGGTTATAAGACCTCCGAGAAGCATTCCCTGACCCCCACGTCTGTTACAGATGTTCCAGCTAGAAGCTTCCAGAGAATTCCCTACTTTGTGCATGGGAGTGCTTAACACATACTATTTTGAAAATTAGCTTTATATAAAACACTCAATATGCTTAGAATATCAAAATACAGTAGAATATGAAATAAAAGGGAAGCACCCTCCTCCTCCCCCACCTCCCAAGTAATCACTGTTCAGTACCACTCTGTATTATCAATGCTCATTTGTTGTCAGAACAAAAATGTAAAACTCTATAAGCAAGGACAACGTTGGTCTTGCTCACCATTGTCCCCAGTGCCAGGCACTGGCCTGGGGCTAAGAAAATATGAAAGGATTATGAATGGATGGATGGATGGATGGGTAGATGGATGACAGGGCAGACAATGGAGAACAGACACTCCATTGGCCCATGCCCACTTCCTCTGGAAGCTCCTTTTGCTCTCATGACTCCCTGGGTCCTCTGGACCCACCCTTCCTCCTTGACTACGGGCCCCTCCCTCATTTGAAAGGATACAATGCTCTTGAACTCCAGGTGTGGAAACTTTCTCTGCAGCTGGGCTGCTCTCCGCAGGGAGCTGGTTCCCACCACACTGCTCAGAGGGTTTAAAATGAGATTTAACCCGAGATTTCCTCCTCTTGCTCCCGGCCCTCCACCATCTGCGCATGTCCCACCAGGATGCTTATCCAGGCCCCACTCACCTCTTCTCTGGCAAGGTTTCTAGGGTTTTCCCAACAAATTTTGGGTGAAAGACAACAGCATCATAAGGGTTCTCCCGCCTGGAGTCAGAGGGAAAGTCAAAGAATGAGGACGAGATGTCAGTGCAGGTCACTTCCAGGCTCTCTCCATAACCAACTAACTGGCATGTTCTCAATTTCCTGCCATGCCTGACACTCCTTGGTCCTAGAGGCACAGGGCAGAGTCCCAAAGGGAAAAGCAGAGCTTAACATGATGCCTCCCCCCAACCCCATGCCCGACTTCACGGTTCTTACTTGCAGATGGCCCCGATGGTAAAGCCAGGAGGAAGCACGGTGGGCAGGTCCTTCAGGGAGTGAACGACCAGGTCCACTCTAGAGAGATGGAAGAGGGAGGCAAGGAGAAGGGGTCCCAGCAGCAGGCTCCCACCCCTCCTCCACCTATGCCCACCTCTACTTTAGTGGTGCGCTTAGAGCAGATCAGGAAGCGGGCCTGCCCAAGATCTCAGGACCCTGAGCCCTGCACCCTCTCTTCTGTCCCCCTTCCCCAGCCAATCCCGCCTTCCAGGCAGCCAGATCGCTCAGAACCAGGACACTCCCCTTTTCTGAGGCCTGAGAAACCCACATATGAGCCTCCCTCTAGCCTATCCAAAGGTTGAAGCCCCAGAGTCTAGCTGATAGCCAGGTGTGATGTGCACAAGGGTCCTAGCAAGAGACTGAGTAAGAACTGTCTTTCACTTACTCATTCTTCTCCAGCGCATGTTCCAGCTCCTTGGTAAACAGGCTCTTCTCTCCAATCTGCCAGTCAAAAAACAGCCTGAGGGGGGCGCCTGGGTGGCTCAGTCGGTTAAGTGGCTGCCTTCAGCTCGGGTCATGATCCCCGGGTCCTGGGATCAAGCCCCATGTTCGGCTCTCTGCTCAGGGAGGGCGTCAGCTTCTCCCTCTCCCTCTGCCCCTCCCACCCACTGTGCCCCCTCCCTCCCAGGCTCCTGTCTTTCAATTAAATAAACAAATCTTTAAAAATAAAAAATAAGGGGTGCTTGGGTAAGCTCAGTCGGTTTAGCCTCTGTCTTCCACTTGGATCATGATTTTGGGGTTCTGGGACTAAGCGCTGCTTCTCCCTCTCCCTCTGCCCTTCCCTTGTGCACATGCTCTCTTTCTCTCGCACTCTCTCAAATAAATAAATAAAATATTTAAAAACAATAATTAAAAAATAAAAAAAGAAAGAAAGAAAAAAGAAAGAGCCCCAGAGTAAATCTCTTGGGGGAAGGAAAGAGGAGGGAGGGAAAAGGATTGGGGGGAATATGTTACCTTAGAGAGCGCAGTATCAAGAATCTTGTCCCCTGTGGTGGACATAGCAACTGAGGAGAGAACCAACCAGAAGCTCATTGATCAGTATTTCCTGAGCCCAGCACTGTGGATGCAGAGGCACATATACCCCAACCCCTGCCCTCTAGGAATGTAATGAGCTAGGAAGAGGACTAAACACCCCAATAGAAAGACCCAAAGCAGAGGTGTTAAATGCCAGGCTGGCCCAAAAAGTCAGAGTTGGAAGTGTTCAGAGGAGGAAATGGCCCTCCAACTGGGGACAGCCAAGAATTCTCGGAGGTGGGGCGCCTGTGTGGCTCAATGGATTAAGTGTCTGCCTTCAGCTCGGGTCATGATCCGGGGGTCCTGGGATGGAGCCCCACATCAGGCTCCTTGCTCCGGGGCCTGCTTCTCCCCCTCCCTCTGCCTGCTGCTCTCTCTGCTTGTGCTGTCTCTCTGTCAAATAAATAAATAAAATCTTAAAAAAAAAAAAAATTCTCAGAGGCAATGGGATGAAGCTTTGAGCCTAGGGAAAGCCAGAAATGCTGTGTTTGCCTGTCCGGGGGCAGAAGGGTTTCCTTCCCATTAGCTTCCACTCCTGTCCAGAAAACTCACCGATTTCAAACTGCAGACCTGGGTAGAAGGCTTTCAGCATTGCCACCACACTGTCTGTCTGTATTCGAGCCAGCTGGGGGCAAACATTCCGATTAGTCCTATCCTTCCCTGCCACTACCCAGAGCTCACACCCTCACTGGGTGAGGGACATACTGAAGGAGCCGGAATTCAGAGAGGGGTTTGAATGCCTACCTGGGAAGGAGAGGGGTCTGGTCTGGGAGCTCTCTGTACCCCGACCCTCTCTCCACAGAATGCAATATGCCATTCTCCATGGGATTTAAAACCCAGCCACCCCATTTATCTTCCATTTCCGAGGTCCTGGGAATTAACCCTCTGGGCCCCCCAGCTTGTGATACCGCCAGCACAGAACTCTTCCCACCAACTTCCTCTGCCCGGTAACTGTACTAACCTGGCTCTTTCGGGTACCCACACGAATCACTCTCATCTTTGGGCCGTTTTCTTCCTGCAGAAAAAGATCCCCAAGTCACAATCCCCTCTGTTCCTTGTGTTCTTCAACACCTGTCCAAGAACCAGAATCACGGGCCTGGAAGCAAAGGACCTCAGCCCCTGGCCTGCGGCCTGCTGAACCTTGGTGTGGGGAAATACTCCGACACGGGTCCCTTTACCTTCCTCAGAACCTTCTGCCCTCCTCACGGATCCAAAGAAACAGAGACCTGAGGGAAGCACCAGCAGGACCCACGGTTGCTGTTGCTTTAATAACCGGACACTGAGCCCTGAGGCCCATCCTGGCTAAGCCTGGGGGAGTGCTGCACACAGCCAGGTGGGTAAAGAGATAAGGTCCATCAGCCCGGCCACAGGGAGGGAGGCTCCCGCAGCAGACAGGGGCAGGGCAGCTGGGGCCGCCGAGACTGTGCGCTGAGTCACTGAGGACAAGTTCAGTATCCACAGCACAGCAGGCGCAGGTGTGTTGCCACTTTGATGGGAACAGCTACCCCACAGCTGCCACACCACGGATCCCATAATCCGGCTGGAACGCAACAGAAAGGATTGGGGTCAACAGATCTTACGGAGAGTCTTGCTTAGCCTCTTGGCAGGCTGACCTTGGCGCATCCTCTCCTCAGTATCTGTTTATCTATAAAATGAAGAGGTTTGGACCCTAGTATTCTCTGCCTCAGATGTTCTACAAGACTTAAAAGGCTAAGCTGCCTAACGTCCATTCACCTCGAGTGCGACCTCTGGTCGCACCAACCAGAAATACTGGAACGTCGCTGACCAAGCTAGGAACTCAAAGGGACACACCTCTTCTTCCTGCCAAGGCACCTGTGACAAAGGTGTTCCGTGCCATGCAGGTAGAACTGCGTGCCTCAGTCTGTAGTCCTATCTCTTTCTAGATCAGAGAGTAGCTACTGTACATAATGTCAACTTTCCCTATTCTGAGATCTTCATCCCATGGAGGTGCTTTGCAGGCAAGCCTCTGGGCCCTCTGTTGTTGGAGGATGTGACAGCTGGCTGCTCCTGGACCCTAGTCTACAGCATTGCTATCAGTTCTCCCATAAATAAACCCTATGGACCCTGAGCCAGTCAGATTAGGCCTGAAATGCTAAACATGGCCCCTAAAATTCTGGGCCACTGGGAGTCCAGAGAGAGTAATCTAAGGTCCCAGAAACTGCTAGGTTGAAATAATCCCTTAACTGCATCGATTCTGCATGGCATATTTTATTCCATTAAAAAATATTTATTAAACCTGTAAATGCCGGAACTATTACTTTTAATCTTCATGAAAACTCTTATCAAGTAGACAGGGCAGGTATCTCGGGGACCATGTTACAGGAGCAATTGAGAAGTGAAATGACTTGCCCAGAGTCACACAGCTAATAATGGGAAAAGAGCTGGAGCCAGAATCCAGATTTTCCTACTCCTCGTCCAGGGCTCAAGAAAGTCCGCAATGGCAAAAAATCCCTCTCCTCCCTGGCAAGCTGCACGTCGGGAGATAAGCAGCTGCCCCATCTCTTTCTTATCTCAGACTGGCAGTGGCCTCCAGCCGCTTTAGTTGCATCTATGCAAGCCCAGAGGTCCTGCTGCGAGCTAGGGAGAAGACTCAAGGGCGCCGCCCACCACAGTAACCCAAAGGTGTGTCTCAGCTGGGGACCTTGAGAGTAGGCTGGGGCTGGGTGACCGCTAAAAGAGAAAAAAGGGAGAAGGCGCACTTCCAAGATGTTTGTGTGCAGTTGGGGGACTTGCGGGTACGCTCTCCTCTCGGGATCCAAACTGGAACAGATTCCCAAGGTGGCCGAATCCCGCCTCGGCCCTGTCTCGTTGTGAAAGGGTCCCGGGAAAGGGTCTGGGGGAGAAGAACTTTCCTGGGCTGGGTCATTAAATCTAGGGCCGTGGACGCCAGGCACGGCGGAACCCCACCCAGATGCCCGCAGGGATGGGGGTTTCGTTCCAGACGATCCTTCCACTCTTAACCCCGCCCCCACCGCTCACCCAGTTCCCCTGTCCTTCCTAAGGGCAACGCAGCTACTGGCCCTTTAAAAACTGTTTCGACAAAAAAATGACGGATAGTCGCTCCGACCAATAGACGACGGAGGGTGGCAACCTGGAGCCAATCGTTGGGCCGCCAGTCCAGAACGCCGAAGTTACGAGAGTCCCCGGCTCAGTACTCACCGCCGTAGCGGCCCCGTTGCCGTTGCCAGACATGCCTGTGCTCGGGAGGTAGGTCCGGGGGGGTGCCGCCGAGGTCCCCCGGGAGCCGGGGGAGCCGGAGGGCCCGGCCAGCGGGCAGCGGGTGCACGCGGGCCCGAGCTCCTCCTGCAGCCTCAGACTCAGGGCTCTGCGTCACTTCCGGCACCCGCCCTCAGCCGGGAGGACCACCCTCGGGGCGGGAATTAGAACGGTTGCGGCAGAGACGACCTTACCCACCTGTTACCGCCTCTGTACCGTCAGGCTGGTGGGGACGGTGGTTTCCCGTCCGCCCCAGTCTTCCTACATTGAGACCCGGGCCACACTGTTCATTTCTTTTACATACACCTCATTTTTGAATCAAGAATGCTGATGGTCAGTGACTAAGATTTGCTCCCCAGATTCACCCACAGAGCAAACTGTGCAGCCCCCCGACCACCACCCAAAGGGATAGTCAAGCCAAAGTGAGCCCTGCCCGAAAGGAGAAGAGTATTAACCCTAAAATGCTGCGTTGAAAGTAACGCGTCCTTGAGCCCCGTCCACGCCCCTTCGGCTGGATTAGCCACCTCCAAACAAGAGGGTGCTCCAGAAAATTGGCCCCCCGGAATGCTACAGCTTTCTCTCCTAGCTGTGGCACAGCCAATGAGTGCAGCTTATGTGGTGCTCCCCTGGTTCCGTTAAAACTTAACTCCGCTACAACCCCGAAGTAGGCTAAACATTCCTACTTTTTAATTGAGGAAACTGGTTCAGAGATCAAAGACAAATAACTCAAGAGGGAGTGCCAACACTTTATTAATGTTAGTGGGAAAGGGCATGTTAGGAAAAGTGCTTTATCCACTAACAGTATTAATAACCATGTACTGAGCACCGGGGGGGCTAACCACTATCAAAAGAACTGGACACCTGATTGCTCCTTTGGCCTTCGTAACAGCTGTAGGAGGAAGGTGTTCTCATTCCTGATGTACAGATGAAGAAACTGAGGCTCAGAGGAGGTAAAAGATGCTCTAAATCAAACTAGGATTCAAACTTGGGTCAGCTGACCCAAAGTCTCTATTTTTAGCCACTATAAATATAGTGTACTCTACCTCTTCTGAATACTACCTAAAGCACAATGTCCAAGGTTACTTTCTTGGGCTAAGCAGCCCCATAGGAGCAGTTTTCCTTTTAAAAAAATGTTTTAAGTAGGCTCCATGCTGGGCTTGGAGCACAATGCAGGGCTTGAACTCACAACCCTGAAATCAAGATCTGAGCCAAAAACCAAGGGTTTGATGCTTAACCAACTGAGCCACTCAGGTGCCCCAGAGCAATTTTCTGACAGGCAGTGTAACGCAAATTATAGGCAGACACCTAGCAACACAAACTTCAGTTGGCAACTTTGAAGAGGTTGGAAATAAATGTTTTAGTCAAGGGCAAAGGGCTCTTTATCCTACTTATCACCTGGTACTAAATCCAGCAAGACACCAACCTACCGCTGGGAAGGCAGGCCTCAACTCCAGGATCCCCACCAGAGTCTGCCTCCTGCTTGAATATGTGATTGACACGAGAGCCACAGAAACCAGCCAGGCTGCAGAGCGGGTGCTGTTTTGGGTACCTTGGTCCAGGCTGCTCTTGGAGCAGAAAGGTATCAGGCCTTTTGCAGAGATTCCTAAATCAAAGTCTACCAGGTGCCACAGGCTCCACCCACTACTGGAATGAGGTTTTGTCCAACACGGTCTTCAAGGAACTGTGCAGGAAAGGAAGCAGGGGTCCTCCAGAGCAGAGGAAAGGTACAGTTTGCACAGCTACGAATCACCATGAAGTCCCCAGAATAAACCCTTCAACCTCCAAACTATTATATTCTTTTATTTATAGACTCTGGGAGCAAGGACCCAAGCACAGCCTGGTGCTCTTGGAGAGAGAATAAAGCAGCTATTGTTCATACTCAGAGGTTGCTGAGGTGCCCTCCCCCGCTGGTCTGGAATGATCCACACTGCTCGAAAAGTCAACAGGAGGAATGGTGGGCTGGCCAAAGAAGGAAGGAGAAAAAGAAAGTCCCCTTTACTCCTGAGGGCTATGGCGTTGGATCAGGGTGTAGTCCTGGGCACGTGTGCCTGACTCCTGTGCAACAGCCCTGCCTCTGTCCCCCGAGTCTCCACTGCTGCACCCCCACTCTCACACCTCACCCCCCCGAGCTGCTTAAGTGCCCCTCCTAGAGTGCATGAGCAGGTCCCGCTGCAGTCCAGCCTCCAGGCTTGTAGTCAGCCGGGCCGCGGGAGGGTCGGTCAGCAGAGTCAATTTGTTGAAAACACCTCGGCCAAAGTAGTCCGCGATCACAGAGAAGCTATCGTTGGAGCACTTGAGCTGCAGGGAAAGAGAGAGAAGAATCAGAACTGTAGGTCTCCCAGTCCTCAGTGAGAGAAGGAAACCAGCCGATGCTCCGGTGAGGCTCAGGGAGTGGGGCAGCTAACCACGCACTCACGCCCACCTGGTGCTGGAACTGATCGTGCAGATCGCGTTTCTGTTCCTGGGCCCGGATCATATCCATGACCTTCCGGTTTTCAGGGAGGCAGGTGGGACAGTCGGCATCACTTTCCGAGTAACTCTCAAAGCAGTGTTGGTGGAAGGAGTGACCGCAGAGAAAGTGGACGGAGGGCAACTCCAAGGCACTGTTACAGATGCTGCACTTGGTCTTCTGGAAGATCTTTGGACTGCAGGCAAGGGAGACCAGAAGGGAGTGGCAAAGAGTGAGAGCAGAGCCGAGAGCCAGGAACAGAGAGAAGGTGGTTGGAGTCAACAAGGAGAGAGAGGTCCCTGGAAGGGACTGCGAGGCCCTGCCCTTGTCACCAACAGAAAGTCAAATAAGGACACCCTGCCTTGGGCCTGCAGTGGGTCTCAGCACACATCCCGCAAGGCCAGCTAACGCTTTCAGTTTTCACAACTACCACTAAACTGTCCTGCATATCTTTGTTTTTTTAAACTGCAGCATGGCTGACATAGGTCATGTTAGTTTCAGGTGTACAACACCGTGACTGACGAGTCTGTGTCCTGCTGCGCCCACCACGAGGGTAGCTACTGTCTGTTACCACACAGCACTATCAGCACACCACTGGTCCTATTCCCTATGCTGTGCCTTTCATTCCTGAGACTTAGTCATTCCATAATTGGGCGCTTATACTGGTCTTTCAGGTCTCTCCTCAGATGTGACCTTTCCGGTAAGGCCTTTCCTGGCCATCTCCTACAGGAGAATGTACACACGCTCTGCACCCTCCTCCCATTCCTGAACTCAATTCTTCCTTGGACCCTATCATCATCTAACATAATATTTTGCTTACTCAGTGTCTGTTTCTATCTCTACGTTGCAAGCGCCATACAGCAGGGCTTTTTGTCTGTGTTGTTAAGAACGGTGCTTGAGACATAACAGGGGCTCAGTAAATATTTGTGGGATGAAAAAACTCTTCTTCTCTAATAAATATTTTATAATGTTAAGGGCAGATTAAAACTTAAAAGTAGGAGATTAATATACAGTACAAATACTTATAATTATCCACTTCCTCTATCTTCTAAAGCCAAGTTTTTTTGTTTTTGTTTTTGTTTTACCTTTGATGGCTTCCAACCACAACTTAGATGTGTTGTTAAGAAAAGTAAAACACAGACTTCTGGGGTGCCTGGGTGGCTCAGTTGGTTAAGCAACTGCCTTCAGCTCAGGTCATGACCCCGGAGTCCTGGGATTGAGTCCCACATCTGGCTCCCAACTCCATGGGGAGTCTGCTTCTCCTTCTTATCTTCTCTGCGCTCATGCTCACTTGCTCTCTCTCTCTCTCCCTCAAATAAATAAATAAAATCTTCAAAATAAAACAAAACACAGACTCCTATAGAAAGAAAAGTACCTGCCACAAGTAACATTCTCCAAAGCCCAATAAATAATGATCTATGGGATAAACCCTTCTTTGGAATTCCTCCGTTAAGACAGATCTCTAAGAATGAAATGTCTGGGGGCGCCTGGGTGGCTCAGTGGGTTAAGCCTCTGCCTTCGGCTCAGGTCATGATCTCAGAGTCCTGGGATCGAGCCCCGCATCGGGCTCTCTGCTCAGCAGGGAGCCTGCTTCCTCCTCTCTCTGCCTGCCTCTCTGCCTGCTTGTGATCTCTCTGTCAAATAAATAAATAAAATCTTAAAAAAAAAGAATGAAATGTCTGAACACGCTCCATATAACCCTCTACGAAAAGTATTTAGTGACACCTGGTGAAGAACGAGGCCATCCCCTGGGCCTCTGCATGTATCCAGTTGCCAAGTACCTCGCCTTGAGCTCCTGGATCTCCTGGCGGATGCGGGTGGTCTCCTCTCGGTACCGCCGCACCCGGAGTTCATCCTGTGCGATCTGCTGGCTCTGTTTCTGCAGTTTTTGGACCAGGTAATCCCGGATGACAGACAGGGTGGCTGTGGAGTTGTGGGCCAGCGTCTGCACCACTGAGATTGGGTCGGGAAGGAAAGGAAACAATAAAGCACATGGCACCCTCTAGATGGAATGGAAGAGCCTCTGCCCGGAGCTGTCGGTGGCCCGCACCCCCCTCGGCCCCACTACCCCGTCCTCTCAAGCACCTAGTAGGGGCGGCATGAGGTTCTTGTTCTCAATGTGCTTGAGCACAGCGGCCACGTACTCCTTGCAGTCCTCCTCCTTCCGGGCGAAGTAGCTGAGCGCCTGCTCCCACAGGGAGGGCTCCTGCTCCCCGTGGCGCTCGCACACAGCCACCACCTGACGGTACTGCTCGTGCTGCATGTGGTAGTGCATGATCTGCTGGAACCTGGGGTGGGGACAGGGCACACTCAGCAGCCATCCCCAGACACAGGGACCCTTCCCCCTTCCTCGAACTGGGCCCACATCTTACAGCTTCCCCTGCTCGTAGAGGTAAAGGACCCCATCCTGGAAGTCGTGCATCTGGCAAAGGACCAGGGCCTTGTCAAAGACGTCGCAAAAGCGGCCGCTCTTTAGCAGGGTGATGGCCTCTGCATGAAGCTTCTCTTTGACCTAGGGAAGGAGAAGCGTGCTGCTGGCCAGAGGGCAGAACCACAGGGTCTCCGCGACAAGCCCAATCAACCACCTCTTCAACCGCCTCTTCACAGGGGACCACTCAGCCCCCCGGGGGGTGAGGTGTTATTGGTCTAAAGAAGGTAGCAAAAGGCCACCACAGAAGGTGGAAGAGGGGGCGCCTGGGTGGCTCAGTGGGTTAAGCCGCTGCCTTCGGCTCAGGTCATGATCTCAGGGTCCTGGGATCGAGTCCCGCATCGGGCTCTCTGCTCAGCAGGGAGCCTGCTTCCCCCTTCCTCTCTCTCTCTGCCTGCCTCTCTGCCTGCTTGTGATCTCTCTCTGTCAAATAAAAAAAAAAAAATCTTTAAAAAAAAAAAAAAATAAAAAAAAAAAAAAAAAAAGAAGGTGGAAGAGGAGCACCATAGATCTGCCAGGCCTCACCTGGGGATCCTTCTCGTGGGCCCAGTTCTGCAGTCGCAGCTCCAGAAGCGTGTCATAGATGCCCTGCGGTGAGTCGGGCTGGACCTCACTCATGTGTTCCAGGAAAGCTTTCAGCTCTCGAGGGTTATTGGCAAAGATGGGGATGAACTCCTCAGAGTTGGCCTGTGGTAGGGAAGAGGGGGAGGGAGGAAGCCAAGTGAATGGGCATGGTCTCCTTGAGGCCCCCCCAGGGGATCCCTGATGTCCAAAAGCCATTCTCCCTGAGGTCTCACCCTGCAGCCTGGGGCCTCCTGATCGCCTCGACCTTCGAGGCTAGGCTGATAGTCTGTACAGAGCCCCTTCAGCAACTGGGTCGTCTGCTCTGGTATATGGTGCATGAGGATCTTGCCATAGCGTTTCATGTTGCTCTCAGCCTGCTCGAAAGGCAGCTTGCCGATATACCGGAGGGCTTCCTGATAATTCTGGAGAGAGGTAACAGGCAGAGGAAGCGCATGCTCCTGCCTCACCCACCAGGAAGCACTCTCATCTTTCCAAGAATGTCCTAGCAAAAGAACAGGTCTCTGTCTCACTTACCTTGATATCTTCTAACTGTATCTTTAAGTACCACTCGTGATGGGCATGGTTCTCAGCTAAGTAGAGGGCGTGGGAGTAGTAGCCGGCCTGCCGGAGGACCTTGATGGCTGTCTCCACATCGAAGTGGACTTCACTCTCACTCTTTGTCTGCCAGAGAGACATGAAACAGTCATTCACAGAAAGGGGGTTGGGAAACGGAGAGGAAACATGCATCTAAGACCAGATTCTTCTTCTTTTTTTCTTTCTTTCTTTCTTTTTTTTTTTTTTAAGTAATCTCTAGACCTAATGTGGGGCTTGAACTCACAACCCAGAGGATCGAGAGTCACATGGCTCTACTGACTGAGCTAGGCAGGTGCTCCCAGATTCTTCAGATAACAATAAAGTCAAGGCCAGGTCGCTGGGAGACCAATAATAATAGTAAAGCAAATAAATAAAGCCCATTGTTTTAGAACATTATGTCCTCTTCTCAGAAAGTCTCTAAGAGCCAGTCTTCCTCTGCCCCTACTATTTCAGGGACTCCTGTGGGGACCCAGGGGCCTCCCAATGTTAATTCCGAGCTTAGATACTACGGCAAGTCCAAGCATCAAAAAACAAGAGGGGAGCTGGGAGAGAACTAGCAGGAAAGGCTGTTCCTCTTCCCAGTTTATAGACCAGAGGATCCTGGTCCCCACATAAGGTCAGCTCCTTCCTCTCCCAGCATCTGCTGAGGGACAAGATGGGCACCACCTCATGCTCAGTGGGACCCTTAGGGACTCTCCCACTAACACCCCCCACACCTTGATGAACTCCTCTAGCTTCGAGCTGTCCTTGAGCTTGGTATAGCAGTTGAGCAGCAGGGTGGTGTGGTCGGCATTGGCCAGGGACTGCCGGTGCAGGGTCTGCAGGTAGGCGGTCAGGTTGTGGATGCGCTGGGCATCCAGAAACTTGCGGATCACATAGGACGGCTCCAACTTTCCAATGGTTCTGGAGAGACACGTGCATCACACAGTATCTGCATCAGCGTACTTTTCAACCTTTCACGTGCATAGGAATCGCTTGCAGGTCTTCTTAAAATGCAGATTCTGTTTCGAGAGGTCTGGGGTAAGGCCTGAGTCTGTGTTTCTAACAAAGACTCAGATGATACCAATGCTCCTGGATTATGGACCATGTGAGAAAGCAAGGCTCCAGAGCACTGACTCTTAAACTTGGCTGAAAACAGGAATTCTAGAAAGGTAGGGAAAGGAGCTAGACAGGGTCCCCAAACCCCTTATTAGGGCAGAAAATCCCAAGAATTAGTACCAAGAGAAGAAACTGTGGAAGCCAAGAGATGAATATCCTTTTCTCTTAAAAAAATCAGATCAAAACACAATTTTTTTTTTTTTTTAACTAAGCTATATGCCCAACGTGGGTCTTGAACTCATGACCCTGAGATCAAGAACTGAATGCCCTACCAACTGAACCCCTGGCCGCTCCCAAAATGATATTAACAAAGGCCAGGCTGAAGTATAAAACAAGAGGTTCAACTTTAAAACTCATTGGCTCAACTGTATCTTGGTCATGTAATATTTAACCCTTTGCAATTAAGTGTACTATCTTCTCACCAAGGCCATCCCAGTTCCTGCAGAAGGAAAAGGTGGTTCCTGGTGAGTTTGCTCCCCTCACTGAAGCCCAGGTGTCAGCCTATCTGGCTGCATGCAGAGCTATAGCCTAAAGCACCCCAGGACTGACCGGATATACTGCTGAACAGCCCCATCGTGGTTGCCCTTGCTGTAGAGATGGTCCCCATACTGCATGAAGATCTGGGCCAAGCCATCACTGTCCAGGTGCTGGCTCTTGGCCAGGTTGATGGCCATCTCAAATAGGTTCTTTTTAAATAGCATCTGGAAGGGGAGAGATTAAAAAATTGGTAGAAGCCATCCAGAGAAGACACCTTCCCACAATGCACCTACAATACACAAGCCAGACAGTCCCAGACTTCTGGCCGGCCTAGATCCCAGACAGGGACGACCTCTCGGATACCCCCAAGACCAACATTGCCTTACCGCGCAAGTCTCTCGGCAGAAAGAGTGGACCCCGAGAATGGACTCAGGCTCCTAGCCATTATCTTCCTCTAAGATCTCATCCCAGGTCATTTACCTTGTAATTCTGCCCTAAGGGACCTGGGTAAGGCTATGCCCCAAAGGGAGGGAAACACCCTGGCCAAGGTGACTTGGGGAGCCTGTTCCTACAGCTGTGTCTGGGTGCTTGTGGCCAGCTCTGGGAACCTGGTGGCCTTGCCTCCAGTTTGGTCTGTGTGTCCTTCTCCTGCAGTGCGTGGACCCGCCCATCCCGCGTCAGCACGTACAGGGAGCCCCACTCAGCAAGCACATCCACTACATCCTCAAAGACGGCGCTATAGGCTATGAACTTGTTGCACAGGTCATAGATGTTGAGAATCTGCTTGTCGGAGCTCTGTGAGTCCCTACTGGTAAACTCCGACCTGTGTGGAAAAGAAAAAGCACCAGGTATTTCTAACCGCTCTGTCTCAGCAACCCCTTACATCACAACTTTAGTGCTGCCCGTTCCACCCCCGACAGACCACCCTTCGGCCCCTCTAGCAGCACATTCCGTAAGTGCAGCATTGCACTGGCAGCTCTAGGAAGAGATCTTACCCTTCAGGATCCTACAATTAACATAAGCAATAGATTAAAAAACTAAGAACGTCCGAGCACTCATTTGTTTAACATAATTAGCACCTGGTAAAAACAAGATGCTACACTTAGTGCTGAGTGAAAACGAACATTGACAGGGATCACTTCCCTCATGCAGAAGACCCTGCCGCCCCTTTCAGGTTGCTCAGGATAAAAATACCATGTCCTGCACACCCAGCCCTTTCCAACTTCTCTACTACTTATTTCCTTGTCCCTCCTCCCAATTTATATTGACAGAAGAATTTAAAAAAAAAAAAAAAAAAAAAAAGGCAGTTCCAAATTCTCTGGAGCATTCTAGTGCACCAGGGCTGCTTGGCAAACATCTGTAGCAAAAATACTTTTTTCAGTAAAAACATTACAAGTGAATTTGGTATAAGCATAATTTACATAAAACCAAAGTAGGAGATTGACAGGATGCAGGCATTAGGATTTTAAAATCATGTGAATTTGGGGGAACAAGGACAGCCCTACACCCTCTTCCTTCTCCCTGGAGTCCTTACTTGGGAGAAACCTTCCGGTCACGGGAGACAATGACAAGGTAGCCTCTAAACCAGTGAGCGATGAGTTTATGGCCCTCAAAGGCAAAGCAGGGCCCACGTTCATCAGGCTGGTACAAATAGACACATTCATCTCCGGCCACTATGAATTGCAGGTCCTGTGAAGGGTCACTTAGGGCTGAGCAGCGCAGGCCACAACCATGGGTGTCCAACTCCACACGAGGGTAATCCTTTCCAGAAACTATATAGGACTGTGAGAAGAAAGAAGTTAACAGGCTCCCTTTCAGGAGCAGGCATCTAAGCCTTCTCAAAGGTATTCCCAACTCCACACTGGCTCTCTCTCTAACTCACAGCACCCTAAGACTTTCTCTGGCTGTTTGTTTTGTCCATTAACCATCACCCATCTGCTAAATATATAAGCTGGTGGGGGGGGGTGCGGCGCCTGGATGGCTCAGTCAGCTGAGCATCTGCCTTCAGCTTAGGTCATGATCCCAGGGTCCTGGGATCGAGCCCCATGTTGCACTCCCTGCTCTGTGGGGTGCCTGCTTCTCCTTCTCCCTCTGCTCCTTCCACCCCACTCATGCTCCATGCTTGCGTATGTGCGCACTCTCTCTAATTCTCTAAATCTCTAAATCTCAGGTTTTGTTTAAGGGGGGGAAAAATATATATATATATATATATGAGAAAGCAAGGACCACACTGCCTTCCTATGTGTATACTATCACCACCTACTAATGGAATCCTGCCACCATTAGAAATACAATAATCTTGTACTGTTTTACCAAAAGATTATTCCTGAGAGTAGGCTGTTAGAAATAAGAAGAGCACCAGGAACCAGCAAAGTAAAGCAACTTGTCGAATGTCACTTAACAAGTTAGGAAGAAAATTCAGGTCTTTAACTATAAGCTCTAGCTCTTTTCCTAATTCTGACTCTTCCTCATCTCTTAAATGAAGAAATAAAATATTAAGCAGAGCAAATGACTCAAGGCTACACGATGAAAAATTTAAGAATCCTACCTTTCTTGTCACTTCCTTACCCTAGGCCCCTGAGCAATGGAGAACCCTCCCCTGCCTGCCCCTAACTCATACCTGAACATTCTCAGTTGTCACAACAAACAAATGAGTGGTTTTTCCCGCTTGGCGAAAGGCCAGCCCAGTTACAGGATAGTTGCCCTTGTGCAGAATCTGGGTCTTACTATGCCGGTCCCGGGTAATGTCTCCTTTGTTCAATGTAACACTGCCATCTGTGAAACCTGTAGGAGAGCAGGAAACAGCACTTCACTGAGACTGAAAAGATCAGGAAGCACAGAAAGGGAAAAAGACCATTTGAGGCACTTGTTGGAAGTGACAAACTTTCTTCTCATACCCAGCTTTCCCAGCGGTTAACATAAAAATCGGTACTCACGGACTCTTTTTCAAAGAACAAAACTGAATGCTTTCCCACTCCAAACTTTAATATCTCAAAGGCCTGAGTTCAGTACAAAATGATCTCATTAAAACAATGAAGACAAGGTGCAGAGCAACTCTGAAGAAAATCTGTAAAGAATCACAGAGCGTTACGTTTGCCTTCTGCTTACCGATGGCCATAAAGTTGAGATTTTCATGGACAGTCAAACAAGACACAACTGTCGGCTCTGTTCCTGGGATGGCAGGGAAGATTCGGGTGCAGAGTGGATTGCCACCATCTCTCTTCTCCAGGTTCCAGATCTTTACCTGTGAACACACCTCGGATGTGTGAATGCTAGTCCCCTCCAACAATCATTCTAGTCTTCTGGTCCTTTCCCACTTCCCTTCTAGGACTCACCAGGGGGTTGATGCCTTCTTCATCTTCACCAACAGATGCCAAAATATTGTGCTGCTTCAGTTGGTACAGGTGTGTCACCCGCAGTTTGTAGGCTTGGAAGCCTGTCAGCTGTAGGGAGCGAGGCAAGAACCAGATTTGGCCTTCCATATGTGCAAAATAGTCAAGGAGCCTCCTTTCCAAGGAGATATATTTAGACCAGAACCCAGATAACTACTTACATACATCCAACTCCTTAAATTTTTCAAGGATTTTCCCACATATCATCTCTGGAAAGTCCCTATCTTTAAAAGGGTGAAAAAGAAGGCCAGAGTTTAGTACCAACACTGTCAAGAAAAAAGCAACAAACTCTCACTTTCATTTATCTCCTTGCCCACGATCTAGGCAGGGGAGGTAATGACATCTAACACGTTCATCTTGTAAAGCCTACTTGCATTCATCGTTCTGACTGATCTTAAAAATAACCTTGTCGTGGCCTGGCTGGCTCAGTTGGTTAAGCCACTGCCCTGGGCTCAGGCATGATCCCGGAGTCCCAGGATCCAGTCGCGCATCACGCTCCCAGCTCCACCGCGAGTCTGCCTCTCCCTCTGACCTCCCTTCTCACGATCTCTCTCTCTCTCTGAAGTGGATAAATAAAATCTTTTTTAAAAACGACCTTGCCAAGTTGGTATTTCATACCCTTTTCACAGATAAGTAAATTGAAGCCCAGGGAGGTTAAGTGACTTGCCCAGGATTGCTCAGTTGGTAACAAGTTAAGAGAATGGACTTCCTTCTTTCTTCCCTCAAGCCTCAGAAGGAGAACTGGGCACCCATCTAAAGGAAAGTGGCACGCAACACGAACCCCTATGCCCGACAGATTCCATCCCAGCTGGATCTCTTCAGGGATCTGGGAAGGGAACAGACAGCTCCAGAGGAAGGATATCTCCAAAGACTAGGCTCCCTCGGCCGGAGTCGCAGACAGTGATGCCGGGAGGGAGGCAGAGGAACTTGGAAGCAGCGGGTCCTGAGGCAGGTGCAGCCGCAGGAGCTGCCCCATCATTCCCTAGCGGCTCCTTCACCAGCTCCTTGTCGAAGAAAACGAAGCGCCGCCACTGCAGGTAAGCCGCCATCTTGGCCCAAGGTCCCCGCCTCTGGGAGAGAGGTCATGTGAGAGGCGCGCAAAGATCACGTGATAGGACCGCTTCCAGGAGCCAGACTGCACATGCGCCTTGAAGTCCAAGTGACAGCTTCCCCAGGCCGGTGAGTGGGGCCCGCGTGAGATAGGATTCCTAGCTGGTCACTCACTCGCTCCTCCCGTTGCTAATTTGTTGGTTCTATACGTGCACTGGGTAAAATGCTTCTGAAGTGCTAGACCCTTCACCTCTTTGAGCATCAGGTTCCTCCATTATTGAATGCATGGACAACAAGGGATCAAGATGAGACATATGAGGGCGCCTGGGTGGCTCAGTCGGTTAAGCATCGACTATTGATTTCCGCCCAGGTCTTGATATCAAGGTCGTGGAATCGACCCCCGGCTGGGGCTCTGGGCTCAGCGCAGTCTGCTTGAGATTCTCTCTCCCTCTTCTGCCCCTCACCCTGCACGCTCTCTGCCTCCCAAATAAATAAAATCTTGAAGGAAAAAAGGTGAGGAATGTCAGGCGCCTTGTGAATTGTAACCCACTGTGCTTAAGTGCATTATGTCCCGATCTCCCAGGGCTGTTTTGAGGCATAAATGAATGAAGGTATATGAAACTGGCTTTTCAGCTGCAGGAGAACTAAAATTAGAAGTTTGCATCTGCCACCAGATACAGATTGCGAAACACAGAGTCTTACATTCGTTTTTGTGTCCCTCTGTTAGAGTCTGTGGCATGAAGTAGACACGTAGAATATGTTTCTTAACGAAACTAGGAAATACTCATGGTGCAGGAACTCTCAAGAACGTGGGCTTTCTTTCCCTTTCTATAGTGGGAGGGTATGGGACATAAGCCCAACACAGGGAAAATGCCTGGAAGGGTTAGCTCTGAGAGCCAAGTGATTTAACAAGTGGCAAGTGTCCAAGGTATTCCATGGCCACCCACCATTTCCATCTCTGGCTAAACCAACTGTTCGCATGGAAAACTGTAGGTGTACAGTCTGGTGCCACAAGGAGCTATGTACAGGAGTGACAGTCATTTTGAGATAATATGACGTGTGAAAAAGTGACCATGTGGTTAGTATTTGTGGAGTTTGTTTTGCACCCCTCTCCCCCACTGCTTTTTATTTCCAGACTATTTTACTCTTTGTTCCCACCAGGAGTTCCCAGAGAGTGGGGGCTGTGTTTTGTTTACCAGGAACCAGGCTTAACAGAGCTGGTAGATATTCGTTTGGTTGAAGAAATGAATGTGGATCATTTTCCCCTTACCCCCTCCTCTCCTCAATCTGGTTGAGAAAAAAGGTAGTGCCCCATTTGCTAAAGGGATAAGTGAGAGGAAGAAACTGTCTAGTTCACATAGATTTCCTGACGTCCAGCTCAGATTTCTTTCCTCTGTCACAGTTTCAGGATCTGAACCCATAGGCAGAAGCACAAATGGGGAGTCGACTCTCTTTCATCTGTTGAGTATATTTTGTACCATTCCTTAAATTTTTTGGATATTGTGTGTATTTCATTTGTTAAGATTATGAATAATAGATGTTAAAAGAAGCAACGTGGCGAGTGCCTGGCTGGCTCAGTTGGTAGAGCATGTGGCTCTTGATCTTGGGGTCATCAGTTCAAGTCTGACATTGGACACAGAACTTACATTAAAAAAAAAAAAGGAGCAATGTGAGGATGTGAGGAGAGGGGGTGAAGGATGGTGAAAGAGGTAAAGGGGATTGTCTTTTTTTTTTTTTTTTGAAGACTTTATTTATTTGACAGACAGAGATCACAAGTAGGCAGAGAGGCAGGCAGAGAGAGGGAGGAGGCAGGCTCCCTGCCGAGCAGAGAGCCCGATGTGGGGCTCGATCCCAGGACCCTGGGATCATGACCTGAGCCGAGGCAGAGGCTTTAACCCACTGAGCCACCCAGGTGCCCCTTGTCTTTTTTTTAAGATTTTATTTTTGGGGGCGCCTGGGTGGCTCAGTGGGTTTAAGCCTCTGCCTTCGGCTCAGGTCATGGTCTCAGGGTCCTGGGATCGAGCCCCGCATCGTGGGTTCTCTGCTCTGCGGGGAGCCTGCTTCCCCCCTCCTCTCTGCCTACTTCTGATCTCTGTCAAATAAATAAATAAAATCTTTTAAAAAAAGATTTTAAAAAAAGATTTTATTTTTGTTTAGAGAGAGAGCATGCAAACAGGGGAAGGAGCAGAGGGAGAGGGAGAGTCCCAAGAAGACTCTGGCCTGAGCGCTGTACCCAGCATGGAACACCATCCCGAGATCATGACCTGAGCCAAAAGTAAGAGCCAAACACTCAACAGACTGAACCACCCAAGTGCCTCAGGTAAAGGGGTTAAAATGTATTTATACAATACATATATAAGAATGTAATGTACAACATAGGGAATATAGTCAATAATATTATAAAAACTTTGTATAGCAACAGATGGTTAACTAGATTTACATGGTGACCATTTTGTAACGTATTTAAATATCAAATTGATAGGGTGTATACTTGAAACTAACACAATGTTGTATATCAATCATTTTTCAATAAAATAAAGAAGTAACGTGAATGCAGAGAGGTGAACAGCAGAGGGGCATCTTTGTTCTTGACTTGGGTGCTCCCCTTACTGTCCAATGGCAGAGGCCCAGAGTCTTCCTATGATACCTGAACCTGGTAAAGCCTGTGTCCATTTGGTCCTATTTATGAGGGTACAAGGGTACGAAGGCAGGGATTCACAATCCATTGCACCTGTTCAGACTTACTGCCTTCCTTCCTTTCCTCTTTTTTTTTTAAGGTTTTATTTATTCATGAGACACAGAGAGAGAGAGAGGCAGAGGGAGAAGCAGGCTCCCCAATGAGCAGGGAGCCAGATGAGGGACTGGATCCCAAGACCCCAGGATCATGAGCCGAAGGCAGACGCCCAACCATCTGAGCCACCCAGGTGCCCTCCTTTCCTCCTTTAGACAAACATGTATCAAGTACTCACTATTCCTGCAATTGTACTAACTGCCCAGAATGTAAATATGAACAAGACATGATTCTTGCCCTTTAGGGAGCTCAACCACCATGAGGGACAGACACAGAAAGGACTGACAGGGATGCCTAGGTGGTTCAGTTGGTTAAGCATCTGCCTTTGGCTCAGGTTGTGATCCCAGGGTGCTGGGATCGAGCCCTGAGTCAAGTCAGGTTCCCTTGCTTGGCAGTGAGCCTGCTTCTCCCTCTCCCTCTTCCCGCTGCTCCCTCTGCTTGCGCTCTCTCATGCACATGCTGTCAAATAAACAAATTAAAAAAAATTTTTTTAAAGAAAGGTCTGACAGTAACCAGTCCTTAATTTTATATAATGAATTATACCTAACAGGGTGGTTTCTCTTTTTATGGACTTTTCATAGCAACCATTTGCAGAAGTATCATTATCTCTGGTGGGAAACGGAGTCTCCAAGAGGTTCAAGTGACTCTCCCTGGGTGAGCACATCAAAGTTCTTCTGGTCCCTAACCTTTAATTAGACACTTTTCTGAAGCGTGAAGCTGGGCTATACTTGTCAGAACAGACACTAGAGGAGCACCTGGGTGGCTCGGTCATTAGGTGTCTGCCTTTGGCTTCGGTTGTGATCCTGGGGTCCTGGGATTGAGCCCTGCATCAGGCTCCCTGCTTGGCAGGGAGCCTGCTTCTCCCCCTCCCTCTGCCACTCCCCCTCCTTGTGTTCCCTCTCTCGCCATCTCTCGGTCAAATAAATAAATAAATAATTTTTTAAAAAGAACATAAACAAGGATTTATCTTTTTCTTATACTTGTCTAAGTCCAGGAACTTCAGTATAGTAAGGAAGATAAGCAGGCAAACTGCACAGAAAATGATGTACTGATTCAGTTATAGTTCTGCATATGGAGACCTTGAGGTCCAAATGGACTGAAGATAAAGAAGCAATTCAAGTCTTCAGTTTGAAATTAAAGAGATCACAATTCACAATCAAGGAGTGCCTAGCCATGGCCTCTTTTCCTCTTCAGCAAACTGCTGTCCGTGATGTACAGAACAGTTATATCCACTGGAGCAAAACAGGAATACTTCTTGTTCTGATTGCAAGCTTTTATTTTCTATCAGTTTGTTTTGTTTTTTTCTCATCTGGCTCTCAGGGTAGAAACCATTTTCCGGAATACTGAAAGGTCTGGGTTTTTTTTCTCTTAGCCCGTATGAGGGCTAGCAGAAGTTTCCACTTTAGCAACAGGAAAGCCAATCTAAAATAAACTCAGAAGGACGCCTGCATGGCTCAGCTGGTTGGGCGTCTGCCTTCGGCTCGGGTCATGATCCCGGGGTCCTGTGATCAAGTCCCACATGGGGGTTTCTGCTGAGGAGCCTGCTTCTCTCTCTGCCTGCCACTCCCCCTGCTTGTGCTCTTTCCCTCTCCCTAACAAATAAATAAAATCTTAAAATATACTCAGAGCTCTCCACATACAGGAGAGTTCAGCTTCCAAAGCTACAGTGAAACAGGAGGAAGCAATTAGCTGATTATTGATTGTGAAAATCTGGCCCCCTAAAGAGAAAGGAAATTCCCCATGAACTTGGCAGAGCACTTAACCAAGCTTTTAACACTGCAGTAGTGCCTATTTTTAAGTTGTATTTCTCCCCACTAAGAACAGAAACAAGTAGTTAACTAATGTCTATTTGGTGCTTAGGGCGTCCCAAGCATTGTGCTAAGCACCTTACCTCCCTCTACATCAGCCCTGTCAGGCATGTACCAGCAGGTCGCTTTTTTTTTTAAACAATTTTTTTTTTAAGATTTTATTTATTTGACAGAGAGAGAGTGATCACAAGCAGGCAGAGAGGCAGGCAGAGAGAGAGAGAGGAGGAAGCAGGCTTCCCGCTGAGCAGAGAGCCTGATGCGGGGCTCGATCCCAGGACCCTGAGATCATGACCTGAGCCGAAGGCAGAGGCTTAACCCACTGAGCCACCCAGGCGCCCCCAAGCAGGTCGCTTTTAAAGCTGTAGAAACTGAGGCTCAGGAAAGCTGAACAACTTGCCTAGAGTCATACAGGTAGAACGTGGTGTTTACAGGCAAATCCAGGTCTGTCCAACTCTAAAGCCCCATATTCTGGGTGCTCGATTTATTTATTTTTTTTAAAAGCCAATTCCATAAATTTGTTCAAAATTCTGAGCAATTCTCTATGCAGTCGTGAAATGACAGAATTCAAGAAAACTGGAAGTCTTGTTTTCTCCTGACACATAATCATCCCCATCTCAATGCAAACTGTGAAATGTTCCCAATCTTTTGCCTTCTCTTCCACACCTCCCATCCTATTCAAATTCATAATACCAGGACCACAGAAACACATCAGTATTCTTGCTAGTGTGTAAAGATACAGGCACTGTCTTTCACTGCTGTAGGGAAGCAGAGATGGTAAATCTTTCTGGAGGGCAACTTGGCAGAATATA